AGTGTGTGGAGTTGCAAAGTAATATGACGGGTGAGCAGTGGTCAATGATCGATTGAAGTTAGTGAGTGTGTAAGCTCTGCGCCCCGTACAAGTACCTCATAGAGTTTGTTACTGTAAAATTAGTAATGATACGCGTCTAATTACCTAAACAGTTTTTATTTTTTAAGTATGTTCACCTAATCATAGTCATAGTCATAGTCATAGTCGTAATTCTATTCCTAGTCCTAGTCCTAGACCTAGAGCATACTATGCATCAAGGGGTCTTGCATCAAGGGGTCTTGATAACCATATGGGTGATTTGCATGTGAATCTTTCGTTCAGAGAGTCACGCTCACTCTCTCGTACCTATTGTTTCAATGCACTTTTTGCCTTGTGGCCGCGAATGAGAGGTTCGATTTCAGTTACCCTCAATTGTATGCGTAAAGTTATACTACAAACATGTTCCGTATCAAACCAGACATGACATATGCGAGAAATCATCACTCTAGTCATACAATGGTGTGGCTACTACAGTATTCAAGCTTAGCCTTCACCTCAGGATACACACCGAACCACCCAGTCACCAGTCAGTCACGCCTGAACTCTCCTTGCACAATTGCAGCGACAACCGCTACACCAACAAGTACTGGAACGACAACAAAGAGTCCGTAAACAAGGGCAAGGTGACCAATGCCCTGCGCGCGGGTGAGACAGGGACCGTCGTCAGCGAAAACAATCTCAAAGGACTGACCGAAGCGCAGCAGATCGAACTGGCCATACAACTCAGTGAGAAGGAGGAGAAGTCCCGTCAGGCCAGATATGGGGGTGGTTCCCAGGTATAGCCTGTGCGGTGTATGTGTGGGATGGGGTGGGGTGGGGTATTTGCGGTGCCTATAGTGGAGTGGCTGTAGAGAAGGGAGGTGTTCAGTGCACGTTTGCATATCTGGGCAGTATGTACAATTATAGACACACGTACATACATGCATGCATACATGCATACATGCATACATACATACATACATACATGCGCACTCACATACATGCATGCATGTATATATATATATATATATATATATATGTATATATAGCGTGTTCATGTACGACCAATATATAAACATACGCTTGTTATCAGGTCGCTACCCAGTCTTTCAACACGCCGGCGGTGTCCAACACCAACACCAACACGAGCTCTGCCAGTGGGTTCGATGCGAACAACCCGTTTAACGACAACGGTGGTACGTCGTCGAATGCAAACGCTACTGCCGGCATGAGTGTCTATGATCGACAGAAGGCGTTGGAAGAGTCCATTGGAGAAGCGGGAATCCAAAAGATGATAGCGAAGGAGCAGGACTTGTCGGAGTTGGAGCAGGTGCGCATGCGTGTTGTGTGTGGAGATGCGTGCATAGTTTGATAGGTGTATATGTATAAGAGTGTGTTCGCATGCATGCACGGGTGGAGATGGCGTGTTGTGTGTGGAGATGGCGTGTTGTGTGTGGAAATGCGTGCATAGTCTGATCGGTGTATATGTATAAAAGTGTGTTTGTACAAGAGTGTCTTCGATTTGAGGTATATGTATGTGAGTTTCTTCGGTTTGTTCGGTGTATATGTAAAAGCGCGTGTGTGTGTGTAAGCGTTTATATGTGTACAGGCGACTCTGTGTATTTTAATACACATTTTGGGAGAGTTAATCAGGGACGAAGGAATCTAACACGTGGGCGTGTGTACAAAAGTGCGTGTGTGCAAAACAACATTTAGTGTATTAGGAAGTGTATGTTTGATCGTGTACATTTCTGTGGGTGTGTATTCGTATGGGCGCGCGCGTGTGTGTGTGTGTGTGTGTGTTTTTTTTTTTGACACATGGGCTTCATCTGCGCACTTCAGTTAGATACAATAGCGTCTCAACAATACTCCGTTAAACGTAATCCCTAAGCTCATGCAATAGCTTCATGATCGGACATGCTTTAAGTACATTACCACTCCAGCCTGTGTCTGGCCGGTGTAGGATTTTAAGGGTTTTAAAGTTTTCAACCCCAGGCATTGAAACATTACTGACCGAGTACTGGCAGTGGATGGTAGAGCCTCATATAGGCTATGCAATAACCAACCAACCAACTGTGTCTCTACGTGCCCTCTCACACTCAGTGCTTCAAAGGGGACGGTAATAAGCGGTCCATGCGACAGCACGGCTTTAAAGACCTGCACACTCTGTGGGGCGCAGGAGATTGTGCTGTGCTCGTGTGCTTGTGCATACGCATGCTGCTGAACAACCAGCTGGCGTTCAAGGATGTGACAGCCACCTTTGGTCATAAGGTATGTATGTATAGTGGTATCTCATATATATATATGAGACCTTTCCGTTGTGAGGAAACGCCATCCAATCAACCCAAATCAAAATGTCATAGGGATCACTCGGCCACCCAACCCTGTGTTGTATCTCTACTCTTCAGTCGGTCATGTAGATAATCTCATTGGGAGTCGTTGATATGGCTTCCTTTTATATACACATATTTTTCATACATCACAGGCGGTGAATGTTTCTGCGGAACGCCGAAGTCTGCTGCAGTACCTGTACGACAATGCAGTATCCGTGCCCAAGCTTAAAGAACCACTTCTGATGGAAGCCCAGTGTCAGGTAAGCGGCAACGTATACGTGTGCGAACAAATAGGTCTATAAATGAGCGTATGGACACACAAAATCCCCATTCCTTGTGTACGGAATAAACCAGCACGTTGCAGTGGCCGTACTGTATATGAGCCGTTAGTATGCCAGCGGGTTTCAGTCAGTTGAATGGTGTCTGTGCTTGTACATGACTTCTATGCTTGGCACAAACCTTATTGCCAATACTCTCCTTCTCCAGTGCGCGCACTGGTACAGTATGGATCCGATAGAGCGGGTACAGCAGCACATTACCAAGTTTGTCCAACGAGGGGTGTATTACCTGGATACCTTTGAGATGGCTGCCAATCCCGTTAGATGCTATTCCCATACCCTATACTCCACACTCTATGCTCTATACTCTATACTAAACCCTATACCATATACCCTACACCCTACACCCTACACCCTACACCCACACTCTGATGTCATGACTTCTTAAAATGCTCACTCTCCACACAGTTTGCGGACTCGTACAACATGAACCCGGTAGAACTGATCCAGAAGCATATCACTAAGATGTCCAACGAGGGTGTGTACCTGGGTATCACAGAGATGGGCGCCGGTCCCTATCGCGACAACTATGTGCTCGTGTTTGTGCGGGAGAAGCCCGCGGGCCTGGGGGGTGGCCTGGATGTGAGCGGTTTGGTAGCACCCCCAAACGCTACAAAGGTCTTCTACACCCTCTTCCACGATTCGGGACACTTTGATCTGCTGGAGGCAAATCCGGTAGGGCTGTGAATGGCTCGGCGTGTGTAGTGCGTCGTGGGTGGTTGGTGTAGTGTAGTGTGTCGTTTGGATACGGTATAGTGACTGGTTGCTCAGCCAAAACGCACCCAACCAGAGCATAACATTCCAACCTGTCCGGTGTTTTTTTTACCCAGGTCGCCTTCTTGTACTGACGCTGCTGAAGTGTTAGTAATAGACTGGTGGCACAGCTGTCTGCGTTAAGTCCCCAGGCCATTGTCCTGGATACTTCATAAGCCCAAAGACGCATAAACATACTGTCAACTCGTGTGTCGTACGGCTCGAGCTACACATACAGTCTCATATTAACAAGTCTGCAGATATCTATAAACTGCTCAAATGATCATATCTTCCGCACAGGGCCAACCAGGCGACTCGTCGATCTTTGCGGGTGCGCCGGCGGCGCTCCGAAGTGACCTGGAAACCCTGCTGCAAAGTTTTAGGTAATTGTTGCGATGTATTGCTTGTCGTATCTTGACACAACCTTGTTCCCACTGCCTGGTCAGTGGCTCAGCGGAGACACAGAACATGTATACACTACCTATCAGCGACTTTTAGGGGTTTAGAGTTTAGTGTTCAGATGCGGGTGTAAGATGTGTGGCAGTGGTGGTGTTTGCTATCACAGACGTCTGTGACTATGTAGGTGTTGGAAAGTGGATTAGAGCTGCTCACGCCAACTCCGCCCACATACACCAGAGCTTAAGTATTGACTCCTACAGTTATTAGTTAAACCAGTTGGCGTGAAGAGCACAATCCGGTAGTGGTGTAGGTATTTCACCAGTATAAGTTTAAGGTGGAATGGTTTGTGTGTGTGTGTCTGACTGCGCGTTTGCCTAACCATGTGTATCGCCAACATGTGATCGTCTCTTTTAGGGTTTAGGATTTAGGGGTTTTAGAAGCCAGTTGGTGTGAAGGGCACAAGCCGGCAGTTTTGTATGTACTACATCAGGGTGTTAAGGTTAAGGGGGAATAGTTCGTGTGTGTCGGACTGAGAGTTTATTTAACCAGTATCGTCTCTATATATAAATGTCAAATATGACTCAGTGACCCTATACTTATAGCCCTGCTGTATCTGTATGTACATAGCCTGTAGCGGTTTGTCGGCTAAATATTGTACTTTATCACTAACGGAGATGCTCAAGGACGCATAGGCAGTTCGCGTTCGAAACAGTCAAACTGACAAGTAATTCTGTTTTAAATATTATTGTGTTCAAATTACATTGTGTACTCTAACTGTAGCACGTGACTGTCGATACGAAGTGGTTCCAGCACGTACCCAGCACAATGGGGTTTTAGGGTTTTAGGGTTAGTGCTCAGGGTTTTATAGCAACTTAACTAACCGGTGGTGTCAATACATGTAGGGACCAATCGAGACGGCCGTCAGCTGCAAATCAACTGTCCCAAACTCCCAGCCAAGGACAGATCCAGTCACAAACGCTGTCCAATCCGAGCTCCATATCTTCGCACAAGGAGGAGCTGAGGAAAGCGTCGCTGGTAGGGAGCGGCAAGCCAGGTTAGTGTGTGTTGTGAGCCGAATAGCGTATATGTGAGTTCTTTTGGGTCGGGTATCCTTGCCTGTGTGACTTTGTTGCGTGTGTCTGTGTGTAGGGTGTGTATTCTTGTGTATATTTCTTGTTATATATACACTTCATTCCGTTCATACTTCTACCGATACTTGCTATCGGAAAGAAAGAAAAACATCTCACCTCTCTGCTCAGTACCACTCACAAAAGTTCTGCAAATCGGATTCATTTCGTAGTTTGTGTGTTGCTCATATACCTGTCGATGGCTAAGACCAACTAAACCAAATTCACGAACGTAGACGATCTCTGGAACGCCCATGCGGGTCTGTTCCAGTCGAGTGCTGCCAGTACACCCAGCCAGCCGCTCAATAGTATGCCCGCGTCATCACATAGCCCACAACAGCAGATGCCATCGCAGAGCAACAATGCGTATGGGGCACCGCCGCAATCACAGAGCGGGAACATGCTCGTCCCAGAGGTATGTCAACGGATTTAAACCCTAAACTTTAAACCCAACTATGATTTATATATTCTCACAATTTTTACGGAGTTTTAAGGTCTAAAAATATCGCGTGGTCTTGGTGGTATCAGGGATTAGATTAGCTGTAGATATGTATCTGTGCTAGTGTTGGTGCTTGGATATTCCGTCCGCTCTTATGGATCAGAGGTTTACTGCGAAAAATCGGCATGTACATGTGCGTTATTGAGATGTCTGTGAAAGGGTTGTAGGGGGCACAGACACTTATTAATATAAGTTTCATGTCGTATTCTGCGCGGTTGTTTGTTGATTGTTTTAGTGATCTTTTGAGTGAGTTTATCTTTCCTTCTATTTTTTATTTACGATAAGCTGTAACGTTATGATTGACTTGTATCCAAATACCTTTCGGTGTGTCACTATTAAATGTTAAATTCTTTTTTGAAAACTTGTGTTGTAGAATGAATTTGATTAAACTTTAGATGAACATGTATAATTGCAGATTTTAAGTTTGTTTACAACATTTCTATATAAGAGTTTTGATAATATATTCGATTGAGCCCTTGTCATAGTCAGTTTATCGACAGCTGCGGGACTTACATTTACTTCTCGTCACTTTCAGGGAGCACAACCCAGCTACAATGCGGATGCGGAACGCGAGATGAAGCTGAAACGCTTGCAGAACCAGCTACAAGGTATGAGTCTCAGTGGCCAGAACCGGTACGGCAATAGTATGGGGGGTATGCAGCAGCAGCCTATAGGGGGTGGCTACGGTGGTATGGGCATGGGCATGGGCATGCAACCTCATCGGATGGGAATGCAACAGCCACAGATGGGAATGGGTGTCCAACAACCGTATATGGGCATGCCACCCCAGCAGCAGTTAGTGATTGGCTCCGGCGGTATGCAGCAGCAAGGTATAGTGTTCGTGGTTGTGGGACTGTTTGATCGCACGAGAAGTATTTAGTGAATGTGTGTCGGGTATAGAAAAGCAGTGTATGGGTTTTTTTGTGTCCGTTGCAATCACTGTAGTCTGGAGGTGGAGTTCCTGTATAACATAATGCCACCGTGAGTGTTTTTTTGTGGCGCTATGTGTCGTCGGCAAGAAGTCCATATTATATGTAGTACGATGGTGTGTTCGTATATATGTTAAGGTATTGCTTATACCGTAGGGGTTATTCAATTAGACATGTGTATCAAAATACCTCAAAATTTCTCAGGAACATATTCCTTGATGATCAATCAAGAATATCGTCAGAGCAAGTGTTCAGATCTTTGACAACACAAACAACATCGGCTACTATTATTTCGTGTGAGTATGCCTTTATTGAGTGCAATGTTCGGTACTTATCCTGTTGTGTTCTCAAGTGACTGGCACGTGGCTGCGTGCGGCATAGTGTAGGCGCCATGACTGTACCATTTCGATACGTGAGGTATTCAGCGACATCTCACTGTTTCACTGGGACTGTTCTTAAAATTTCCAGTGTCTTACGAATAAACCAATAACAGGTTTTAATGATCGTGCGGTACAATTCGGCTCTCTTGTACGCGCAAGTAAAGGTGCGCTATGTATATCCGTTTCATATAAGTATCGAGCGCCATTGCAATGGAAGCCGCTGCACAGTGCACAGCACCCGAAGTCATTTTCGACTTGCTGCTTTGCTTCTAGTACAGATTGAAAATTTGTTGCATCTATTCACTCGAATTCACAGGTGGCTATAACCAGATGGGAGGTGGACAGCAACAGCAAATGTATGGCCAACAACAGCAAGGACAAGGTTACCAGCAACAGGTCAGTACTTCCACACACAAAAAAATTGTCTGTGATTTTTTAAGTTGAGGGAAGGTGTTTTCCTTACACTCTTGATAAAGTATACGCACTCTCCTGAAGTATTTATCGCATGTATTGTGGTGCAGAACCATATTATGCTACGGAAATGTTCGTAGTGACTCAAGTTCTATTTTGGATGCGCTTGGTAAATCCAGAAACCAGTATCCCTTCTCTCAATATTTACATTTGTTTTATTGCAGGTTGGCAAGAATCCGTTTTATTAGCTCATGAACAATACATGAACTGGTTGGCAGGGTCATGTCCTTGCAGTTCAGTTGAAATAAACATTAGTATAAATATACAGCATCACTGGCTTGTCAATTTAAGTCACGGAATCTGTTCGCATTAGAGCCTGGGATATAATCGAAGCGTCAAAGTTAGCATGCCAGCAGCTGATAAAATTGATGATATTAGTTGACTTAGTAACGCGCCTCTATCAGACTGGCGAGCGAACGACTGGTCTCCTGCTTGTCTTGTACCTTAGATTTGCAGGCCGACTTATTAGTTGTTGAATTTTCGATGTATTTTGGGAGGAGTGCATGAATATTGAGTTGCTGACTTCGGATTAACAACATACCTACAAGCTGACACAGGTCAGATGTTAGAAAACAAGTCATAACATCGATTCGGCAGCTCCAGTGAGTTAATATTCTGACTCAAAAGCAGGTTTCGAAGCAAGAAAATTTATGGAATTTAGATAAAAAAACGAAGATAGCAAATTGTAAAACAGAAGTTGAAGCTGATTTTTGTATTTACTCCTTGCAGTTCGCATTATCTGAGCATTTGGTGTACACATGCACTCCCTACAATGCAGTGATGGGACCTTGTAGTCTTTGTTGTTGTTTGCCGTAAAAATTTGTTGGAAAGTTAAACCCTAAACCAATTCTTTAGACTCTGCATGCGCTCTATGGATTATTAGATAAGCGATTGGAGATTCATAGTTTTACACGCATATACCTTGTGTGACCAATTGTACAGCAGTTCACTTTATTTGATTATCAAGTATCTATACCGAACTATGTTGGGCAATATCTGTACACTGGCCGTGGTCAATAGCGGCTTATCCTTTATGGATTGTTAGATAAGCGATTGGTGATTCATAGTTTACACGTATATACCTTGTGTGATCAATTGTACATCAGTCCACTTTATTTGATTATCAGGTATTAATCGTGGTCAATAGCGGACAGATAAAGATATCGTTGGAAGTCGTCCGCTTCCAATCATAACATCATTCTATAAAAAAATTTAACTGTATTTCAAAGAGTATACACATTATCCGACAGTAGGCAAAAAAATGTCATAGGAAAAGCTGTGGAAATGGGCATTCGTTTTTTGCAGATCAAATCCGAGGGCGGAATGAATAAACACACATCACCCTCCTCCACATGAGTTTAAGCGCCACTACGTAAACCCGTACTTTGGTTTCCATTAGATTAAAGTCACAATTTGGGTGCCAACATATTGCGATGAATACACGCATATCGTTCTGTTGTATCGTTTCAATTCTCAGAATGTTCTATTGAAATTAGTTGACCCATTCAGGAATTTATGGTCATTTATGCCTATTCTGTGCTACTAAAATTGATGTCAACTTTTCACTAAATATGTTGTGATTCTATCAAGCTTGACGTGGTCACGCACTGCTCATCAGTCACTAGTAGGAAAGCTGCCTATCGATTCCAAAAATAACAAGACAATAATATGTCGTTTACAAATACCTCTTTTTGAACCTTATACTAATTGAAGAAGAAGAAAAATGCAATATATATTTTTTATCCCGTTAAAGGTACTACCCCCGATCGTCAACTGTTAGGTTACATGATATAAAAATCGCTCAATGACGACATACTTCGATATATACACGGTGGCGAAGCACATAGGAAAGCATAGTTCGCATTCTCGTTATGCACCTAAATATTTACATTCCCATGGTTCAAAGAGTAAACATAGTTTATCTGCAGTATTGAGCTGTGTATTCTTCGCACATTTAATCTTGTGAATTTCAATTCAAAGTGCTACCAACTCGATTAGATGGCACGCGGTTGCTTTGGTATAATACCGCTACCTTCTTCGATTCGATTCGATTGAAATATATACCGGATGCGAATCCAGGGTGTACTTTTCACTTGTAAAATTAAGGTAATGCTAGGTCTCGAAAAATGATGTTGAAAGCTATGATTGTGCCATAAATATACAAGTTGACAGCCCGCAATTTGCAATATCTCACCAGTGTGTGTTTTCAGCGTCACTTTGATTTCCGTTCTCATTTGGGACGTTTGTGCAAATATCATTAGTACCCAGAAATATGTAGCGGTTTCAAGAATTTGGCCCTAAACATATAAATTGAGATTTTTGAAAATCCTACGATCCTACGAAAAAGTATGATTTTGGCTGCTGGTGTCTTTAGCCCTTATTTACACTTCCCACACACCCCCCCCCCCTTGTGCTCTTTGTCGTAAAGTAGCGAGCGAAAAGTTTCTGTTGGAAACGACACGCGAAACATGGCAATCCTTCAATAGTTCTTTATACTACTAGTTACATGTAACATAGATAAATTGATATTGTCTAAATACAAACAAGCGTTTCAAATAGTAGTTAGCATGGCAGGCAACCCTTTAATATTTGGGTACCCTTCATCGGATACGGTAATGTGTAACCAGTATAGGCATCAGCGATCCCAATTAAAGACATTGCTTTCATTACATGGTTATGGACATTCACAGAATATCAAACGTGAGAATTAGGATACTTCAGACGATGTCCTATATAGACAAAGCCAAGGGAACACAACCTACTATCACACAGCTATCAGACTCACATAGTAGCCACATATTTTGCTCACAACCCGATTTGATGGAATGCTTCAATGGGATGCAATCGCTACACTGCACTTCATGAAAGTGTCATACCAACAGACTATAACTATACTAGAGCTGCCTATAACCTAGATTTCCGTGCCAATCATTATTATGTCCCAGATCGCAAAATTAAATTCACGAAACCAACATATCGATTGCAATATCATGCGCCGTAACTCATGAACAACCTTCTGGTGTTCTCAAACACTGCTGTATGTTACGAAAGCACGCGCAATGGAGTTCACAGAAAGTATTTGAATTTCAAAAGTCGTGACAGTTCAAGAGATTCGCAATTTTTAAGATCGTCACAATTCAAGACATTCGCAATTTTACGAATAGATAATCGGACTCTAAACAACAGTCCAGGAGACAGCGGTCATGCAAGAAGTTTCTGTCAATACAGAGTATTCAACTTAAACGAGTATATACTCATTTTCATCAGTATATTGTCATTGATTTTGTAGTGTCGTATGTATTAAGTACTACCTATAGTTAGTATCTCAACATGCAGTATACTGATAGCTTCGGACATCAGACTGGAGTAGCATCTATCAGACATCTTAAATAGTTAGGTTTCTATCGACGATTACAGCAGACTATAGATTAATAAAGTTGGGTTTGAGAGCATCACATATTGTGCGAAACCAGTACGACTGCCCCCACCGATTGCAAATTGACTTTAGATACAGTATCAGGCAATACCTTGAGTTCATCCCAAAGTGTCGCGAACGCACTATTCAGCAACTGAGATATCCCCTATCACCTGACATCAATGCCCGAACAAAACCGCTGTGGACACGATTCCTTCCTTATAGTCTGATTCGTTTCTCACGTTTAATCATGGTGTACAGACGTGGACGCCCTATAGTTATATGTATTTGCCGCCAAGTTTTCCAATATAAATCAAAACAATTGCCCCTAAAACTGACACTTAAATCATCCCCCAAGTATCTCGATAGGCCGCAGTATATATACAAGTTTCAGTACGTATTAAGTACTACCTATAGTTAGTATCTCAACATGCAGTATACTGATAGCTTCGGACATCAGACTGGAGTAGTATCTATCAGACATCTTAAATAGTTAGGTTTCTATCGGCGATTACAGCAGACTATAGATTAATAAAGTTGGGTTTGAGAGCATCATATATCGTGCGAAACAAGTACGACTGCCCCCACCGATTGCAAATTGACTTTAGATACAGTATCAGGCAATACCTTGAGTTCATCCCAACGTGTCGCGAACGCACTATTCAGCAACTGAGATATCCCCTATCACCTGAGATCAATGCCCGAACAAAACCGCTGTGGACACGATTCCTTCCTTATAGTCTGATTCGTTTCTCATGTTTAATTACGGTGTACAGATGTGGACGCCCTATAGTTATATGTATTTGCCGCCAAGTTTCCCAATATAAATCACAACAATTGCCCCTAAAACTGACACTTAAATCATCCCCCAAGTATCTCAATAGGCCGCAGTATATATACAAGTTTCAGTACTTAACCAAACGACGTTATCATTTTCAAACTTATCAGGCACTCAGTTTCCAAGCAAATAAGGCCCAACACCTTTTCACTAGACATAACAATAATATCAGTTCATCTTATTGCAGCTCCAATATGATACCACTCCGCATATTATCAGTAATTTTATGAATACCTTGCGAACCCCTACAACACCGCCAATACTCATAAAATATTTTACTGTTAAACACTGTATACATTGGAACAATTTTATTACTTGCACATTTCATATGTAACCACTCGTACTCAGAAAATATTTGAGAGACTTTACCTTCGGGGTTGGAAATCACACTCAAGAAGAAAATCTCCTCTCAAGATTCTAAGGAATGAAGTAGACCACTAGATATTCAATCCACTCTCTCTAGGGATCCCCAATAGACCCCGAAGGTGTCTATCCCTTTGGGAATATGATCGCTATGGCAGATAACTCGATCAACTTCCCACCTGGTTAGTACGATCGCGGGATTTTAAAATTAAAAAAATAGCCGATGTACCACCCCCCTCGGTGGAACATGTTAAATTCGATGGTGCACGAAATTATGTATAAATAAGTTCTATCTGCTATAATCAGTATGGGTTTCTCAGCCGGCCAAGAATCATAAGACATGGTAATAGTGATAAATTGAGTGTAGTGAATCGCCTAGAGCAGCAACCCCAATTAAACAACTTTTCTAAACCCATTTATGACAGTAAAATAATAGTAGTTGATACCATGTAGGAACAGTATATTAGCGATTACATTTGTTTTGCACATAATATCACACTAAAAAAAAGAGAATTAAACGCAAGTAGAGCCACAAATTAGAAAAAGCGACTTACGCAATTGAGAAACAAATAAAGTACAGTTCAACTGCCTATGAGTACACGTTTCTATAATCTTAAATTGATCATATCTTCTAAAATATGACGGCTTCATCAA